CCCAGCCGTCTCTCTTGCTGCCTCACTCCCCAGCATCAGCTCACAGAGCTGGGGTGTCCCTGGGGTTGCAACACAGCTCAGGACCCCCACTCCTTCCCTAGGGCCCCACCATAGCCTCAGGGCCCTAAATGCCCCCTCCTCTCCAGGCTAGACTGGAGACAGCAGAGGGGTGAAAGAGGTGTATCCCCCCACCAACACACAGACAGACACAGGTCCTCTGGGCCTGCAGGTCCAGAGCCCCAGCTTCGAGGCTCAGCTCTGCCTAGAGCCCAGGCAAGGCTCTTCCTTCCTCTGGGCCCCCATTTCCCCGTTTGTGAAACAGTCCTCAAGCTCCTCCCAGAGGACTCCCGGCTCCGCCTGCTTCCCTCTCTGACCGCACCCACAAAGAGAGGACCCTAGCTTCCTCTCTTCGCCCGGGGTCCTGGCCACTCCTTACGTACAGGCCCTTACACATGGTGCTCCCCCCTCTCCATGGATCACTCACCGGCCCTGTCCTCACCTAGTTAACTTCCTACACATCTCAGCTCAGATATCACCTCCTCCAGAAGCCTTCCCTGATACATGATCCCCCCAGGCTTCTCCACGTCCCAGGACCAGCTCCACGGCAGCCCCTTCCCTCTGTGCTGTCACTGTTGGTCTTTGTGCCCTGCTCCCCACGGGACCATGAGATCTGAGGGCGGGCTGTGTGTTCTTCTACTTCCCTACTGCCTGCTGCAGGGCCTGCCAGTGGGAAAAGGTGGCTGAATGCATGAGCAAATGGTGAACACTGAGTGACGTCTGTGTGAGCCTCCCTCCGGGTCCTTCCCCTCCGCCTCAGCAAGGGCAGATTCTTCCCACGCCGGATTCCCTCCAGACCCCTGCCCCGGGGCAAGAACCCACCACCCGGAAGTCCTAGGTCATTTATACCAAGTGCCCAACTCGAAAAGAGCCCAGTTAGCAAGGCTTCTCAGCCTTCAAGAGACCGTCATGCTCAGGGGCGCCTGGGTGGCGCAGTCGGTTAAGCGTCCGACTTCAGCCAGGTCACGATCTCGCGGTCCGTGAGTTCGAGCCCCGCGTCAGGCTCTGGGCTGATGGCTCGGAGCCTGGAGCCTGTTTCCGATTCTGTGTCTCCCTCTCTCTCTGCCCCTCCCCCGTTCATGCTCTGTCTCTCTCTGTCCCAAAAATAAATAAACTTTGAAAAAAAAAAAAAAATTAAAAAGAGACCATCATGCTCATTTTACAGGAATCCTCCTGGCCGCCTAGGACAGGGAGATGAAGAGAGGCCCAGGGATGGAGGGGACAGGGCCAGGCGTGGCTGGCAGGCTCAACACCTGCACTTCCTGGAAGCGCCAGCCAGCCTTGGGAGCCCCAGGAGGAAACTGGGGCAGCCCCCAGGCTGAGGCCACCGGGCCAGTGTCTGGACCAACCTCAGCGGCAACTGCAACATCTCTATCCCTGCCATGTACGTAGCACCTACTGTGTGCCAGGCAGAAAAGAAACTGGGGCTCAAAGAGCCAATGAACTTACCCTAGATCAAACAGTCAAAAAGTAAGGAGGCTGGAATTTTACTCTGCCTTAAAGGCCCCCGCCACGGCCAGTTAGTTCCACAGGCTCTGGAAGAAGGCAGCCTGGGGTAGGGGCACAGCTCTGCGACCTTGGAGAAGTCACTTCACCTCTCTAGGTCTTGATCTTCTCACCTGAAGCCCGTAAGTGTGAAGCAGAGTCCCTGGCATACAGCAGGTACTCAGTAAAAAACAGCTATTTCCCTCCCATCCGAAAGCCTCACTCTACAGAAGAGGAAACCAAGGCTCTGGGAGGAAGCAAGACCCATCTGAGGTCACTCAACAAATAGGTGGTACATCTGGGATCCAACCCTGGGCTTTGGGGACACGCCCTTGAGCACAGCGAGGCCCTGGGCAGCAGAGGCCTCACCCAGGCAGTGTTGGACTGGTGCAGTTGGTTGAGCATGACAATGGAGGTGCACCCGTAATCGTAGACCAGCCGCCAGAAGTCAGGCGTAGTGCTCTGTAGAGGATGCAAGGTCACGATGAAGGCTGCGCTCCGTGTGTAGCTCTGCAGGGAAACCGGGACTCAGCGGGGCCTGCTCGCCACCCGACAGGGCCTGAGCGCCCCCACAGGCTGTCCTCCCACTCTGCCCACCCTGGGCTGAACAGCCCTCCCCTCGGGGCCAGGCTGCCTCCAGTGGCCCATTTTAGAGGCTGGCTGGCACACTGAGGCCTGAGTTCATAGGGTGAGCCCCCAGGCCTCTGGTGCCCAAGCCCACGGCCCTTGGAACTAAACACAAAAGGTTCTCACATTTGTGGCAATGGGAACTTGGGCATGGTAGTTAGAGGCTGGCCAAGCTTGCTCCCTGCCTCAGGGCCTAGGCATGTGCTATTCCTGTTGCCTAGAACAAATTTCCAAATATTGACATGGTTCTCTCCCTCCCTTCTTTGTGCTCTTTGCTTAACGGTCACCTCCACAAAGAGGCCCTCCTTACCACCTCATCAAAAATCGCCATATACACACACTCCAAACCCCACACTACATATTTCTTCTGCCTGGTTGCTTTTTGTAGGAATTACCAGTGTATATTTGCTTACTGGCTGTCCCAACCCATCACCCAAATACAAGTTTCAGGAAAGCAGAGATTTAGGGGTATGGTCTTTGCCCGGCACGTGGTAGGAGTTCAATAAATATTTTTGAATAAATAAATCTCCACGTCCCTTCCGACTCCATGGGTGAAGGGTCTGAGACCCCAGCTCAGGGCCCGAGACCAGTCACAGGCACTGACGCCACTCCCTGCCCTGACCTCATCCCGACCAGAGCCCTCGGCCCTTCCGCCTTGGCTCCCTAACCTTCCCAGATACTTCCCAGTGCGGGAATCCCAGAGCCCACCCCACCCCCCCCCCAAGCCCTCACGTCAGTCAGGGCCGCGTTGATGTAGTTGTTAGGGTCCCCGTCGGTGGAGATGAGGAAGGGCAGGCAGCGGTCGGGCGGCAGGACATCCATGCTGCGGTTCTTGTCTCGGTTCCGGGGCAGCAAGGCGATGCTGCACTCTTCCACGTCCAGGGGTGGTGTGACCGAGTTCAGCGTCTAAAGGAGTGGAAGGAGCAACAGGGTGGGCGTGGGTGAGTATAGACATCCAGTGTTTGCTGGGCCTCCTCACAGCTCCCGCCAAAGCACACTGAGCTGGGCTACTAACCCCATTTTACGGTTGGAGACCTGAGGCCCGGACAGAAGGGAGAGAGGGCAGGGACCCCAAGCTCCCAGCCTCCAGACCACGCAGACTCTGAACAGCGCTCCGGAGACTCGAGTCTGCCTCCTTGCTCCCTGCATCACCTTAGACAAGCTGTCCTACTTCTCAGCACTGCTTTTCTCAGCCGTAAAGTGGGATAATAATATGCCTGCCGCGAGGGGCTATCGGAAAGATAAAGAGATGACGCCAAGGACCAAGCACGGCACCAGGCACATGCAAGGCTCCAGACGTGCGAGGCGCAGTGAGGACCGTTACGAGCTTCTCAGGCGCTTTCAAGAAGACAAGCCGGGAAGCCCCACGTCTTCTGCAAAGCGGACTCCGGGGGCCTGGCAGAGATGGTCAGCCCCGTCTGAACAAAACGCAAGTCCGAGGCACCTGTGCTGCCACAAGCCTGGGACTCCAGGTTATCTCCTCCACCTCGTGCCTCATATAGCCTGATCGATGGGGTCCTGGCTTCTTTCTCTTGTCCTTGGGGGTCCCTAATGGGGAGTCCCAGTCTCTCATGATCCCCAGAGCCCAACAGGCCCCAAGAATCACAGGCAGCATTTCCTATGACACCAGCCTACGCTGGCTGGACGGCATCAGGTATCCAGAAGGTGCCACCCCACGGAACCCTCGTGGGAACCTGGAGTGCAGCAGACATGTGGGGTCTCTGCCTGCCCACTGAGAACCAGCCCTTCCCCCATCTCAGTCACATGACATGCTGAGAGTGGCTCCACCCCCAGAACCCCTCCTGGGCCCATCAATGTGTTCCATCTTCCTGGCCCCAGTGACTGGCTCCGGGAAGGCACCAGAGAGGCTGGTCTAAGACTTCTGTTGGGGCTGTTGGGAGTCCTTTCTCCGGTCTCCTGACATGAGCCTGGCACTGCTGGGGGCGGCCAGGGTGTGGGTCCGAGAAGCCGAAAACAAAGAAAGCAGAACTAAAAATGGGCAGAGGCTAAGTGTTGGCATCATCATCTGAGCCCCTGGATCCAGCCATAACTGAAGCTGCACCATCTTCAGACTTGTCCGTTACAAAAGTCATGCAGTTGGATTTTTGTCAGCAACCAAAGTTGTAAATCCTGAGAGTACAAACACTGCAGGGGCAATATTGACTTGCTTTCCGGGATAAGAAAACCAAAACTTGGAGAAGTAATGTGAGTGTTCAAGGCCAGTCTCTAAGTCCTTCCCAGTAGCCCCATTCGGTCCCTCTTTCTTGGCTCTCAATGACGCCTATAGCACTGAGGACTTCCCAATACACACACACACACACACACACACACACACAGAGTCACAAGCCACATCCACACTCCTATACACACACTCATGCCCCACCTGGAACTCTTCCCGCAGCTGGGAGGAATTACTCTGGGGGTCAATGCGGATCATCTCCTTGTAGGTGGCCTTGAACTCGCTGACAGGGATAGTGGTCTCCCCACACAGGCAGGCCTCCAGGATTGCATCATGAATGAAGATGTACTGCTCCTGGAACAGGAGGAGAGAATATAAGGAAGCAGGAGGGGACCAGGACCTAGAGATTTGGGGGTGATGGCAGGGGGAAGCGAGCCCAAGGTTGAGGCAGGGGTGCTGGAGCCCAACCACGTGTGACTACAGGTTGGACCAACCCTGCTGGAAACAACTTTCATGGGTACGTTCACTCATCTCATATTCATCTCTATAATAACCCTGTGAGGAGCTCTGGAGGTGAGGGCAGAGCAAACACAAGTGGATCTTGACTGTAGAACCTGACCCTGGCCCACCGCTGTTTGACCTCACCCGAATGAACACAGTGGTGCGGACTCTGGGAAGACGCTAAGAGGCTGGCGGGCCAAGTTCAGGCATCTCAGCCCCAAGGACACCCCTCTGACACATTCCACCAGCTCTGAGTTCCGCCACGAGGGACCCAAGTCCTGGAGAGGGGAGGGGAGGAGGGCTGCGTCCCCTACTTCTGTCTGGATCATGTTGACGCGCCGGGAGCAGAGGGCCTTCACACAGTTGTAAATGTCCACAACGCCCTCACACTCCGCCATGTCCAGCATCACATCCAGAACGATGTAGCAGCCTGTGCGGCCGGTGCCCGCGCTGGGGAGAGAGCAGCCAGGGGCCCTGTCAGAGCCTGGGGAGGGAGCCCGGGACCAAGAAGGGAAGAGGGGTTCTGGGGTGCCTGGCCATGCCTACGCCACACAGGGACTGGGGGACAGAGACAGACACCCCACTGCACCAGCAAGGAGGAGCCAGGGAGGAGTCTGCAGCAGGAGTCGTGGTGAAAGGTGACACAAGACAGAGCTGGGGACGGGCCTCAGGAGGGGAGAGGGGGAAGGGTAGCAACTTAGCTGGGGAGAGGACAAAGGTGATGCTCAGAGCTTCATCCAAGAATGTTCTTGCCTCCTGGGTAGCCCCAGATCTACACACCCTTCAAAGCCCCACACGTTCACAGCCGCTCGCATACTCAATGGAGCCTCCCCAACCCTTCCCCAGACATCATTCCTCTGAGCTCTGAGAGTAATTCGGGCAGGCTCTTATCAAACCCTCTTCCTGCTACGCGGTCGTCGTTTTTGTGGCTGTCTCCCTGACCCGACTGGGAGCTCCTCGAGAGCTGGGCTGGGTCAGACCCATCTCTGGGATGCTCATGGTCAGAAAGAGCTGAGCAGAGTTGAGGGGCGGAGCGAGAGGACAAAAATGACACCAAGCTGTCAGGCTCAAAATGGTGGCATCGGGGCATTGGCAGGAATGCACAGCAGTGGGTCTTCCACACGCCCCTGCCGGGGGCTGAAATCAGTACCGCCACTTCGGGAAGCGGTTTGGCAGTATCTACTTAAAAGCGGAATGTTTACATGGCAGCAATTCTACCCCACATACGTACCCCCCAGAAATGCACGCGTCTGCCGGCCCAAACACAGGCAATAGAATGTCCTTAGTGGCTCTATTCATAATAGCTCAAAGCTGGAAACCACCCAAATTCCTATCAATAGCAGAATGGATGAACACACTGTGGGTGAGTCACCCAGTAGCCTGTGATCCGACAGGGATGAATCTTACGTACATAAGGTTCAGACACCAAAGAGTGCACACCGTAGGATTCCATTTATGCAAATTCAAAAACACAAAATGAATTTACGCTTGAGATGGCAGGATACTGATTGCTCCAGGAGCGAGCAGGTGGGTACAGACAGGAAGGCGGCTCAAGGGGGCTTCTGGATGCTGTTAGCGTTCTAGTTCTTGATCTGAACAGTGCTGGTGATTTCACGGGTGTGTTCAATTTATGGAAAATTGATAAAGGTATACACTTATTACGTGTGCACTTTGCTTTAAGTATGTTATACCTCAGTGAAGTCTTATTTTAAAGACGGTATCTTAAAGAAGCCTAAAGACACCAAATGGAAATAGTCTGTGGGTGGCAGGACAGGGAGGGACTGAGTCTGCCACATGGTATTTGGGAAGCTGAGCGGAATCCAAGCAGAGGAGCCAGGACAGATACAGAGGCCAAGGACCTTTGGGTCAGGGAATCGGTAAAACCACAGGGTTAGAGGCTAAGCTCCCCAGGAGGGGAGTGGGGGCAGGAACCAGACAGGACACTGAAGAGGCAAGAGAAAGATGTGGAGCCAGAGAGGAAGCAGAGCAGAGGAAGCGCCGCCGGGGTCACAGGAGCCGAGCAAGACAGGACCGGGGACAGATAGGAGTGAGGGCCAGGAGTTGCACAGGGTGTGAAAGCCAAGCAGTGAGAAGAGCCCATGGGACTTGGAGAAGAGAAAGCAAAGCGCCCCCCACCCCCCCAGCACCTGGGCCAAACCTAGCACGCAGGTGTGCAATGCACACTTTTGCTGAACGGAAGCAGATAGAACTCAGCCTGCCTGGTGCCTCACCAAGCCCCAGCCCCCTCTGTCTCCAGCGCCTCCTTAGCCTCTAGGCCCAGGGCCTCTGCAGGTCCTGGGAAGCATATGAGGGTGCCGACCTCAGAGCCAAAGCTCAAGGGGCCCTTGGGGGTCAGTCTCTCCTCCGTCTCTAAGCAGGATGAACCTAAGCCTAGTCTCCCTCTGGGACCCTGAACACCACCACGCCCAGTCCTCTTCTGGGGATCCCGGTGCCTCACCTGCAGTGGATGACGACGGGCCCGGCGTCAGGTGGGGTAGAGGCCTTCACGCGCCGGATGAAGGCTAGCAGCCCTGTGGCGTGGTAGGGGACGCCGTGCTCTGGCCATGCCGTGAAATGGAACTGTCGGACCTCGTGCCGGGCAGAGTAGCCTCTCTGGGGAGACAGGCAGAGTCACTGCTGGCATCTGTTAGACACCTGCCGGGTAAGCATCTCACCCCAGGATCTCAATTAATCCCAGTGATAAACTTACGAATGGGTATTGATGACTCATCGTACCAGCGAGAAAACCAGGGCCCAGAGAGAAGAAACTGCTTGCCCGAGGTTAGACAAGATGAGCATGACACAGGAAAGGGGCCAGGGCCTGCCTGACGCCTAAACCTGTCTGCCAATCACCCACCTCTGCCACCGCGTTGCCGTGCAACCCCCAAGAGGTCACTTTGACTCTCTGGTCTTAGTCTAAAGGGGGAAAGTGTCTCCTTTGAGGATTTACAGAGGATCAAATGGGATCACAGACGGGAGGACTCGGCCAGTCACTGGCCATGTGGCCTCCTGAGTGATGCAATGACCCCACCTCATTGTCTTTATTTGTACAATGGGACTAATGGAAACACCTCATTCCAGAGTTTTCAGAGTGGAGCCAACACATGTCACAGCTCAGCACGATGCTCAGTGCAGAGAAGGACCAACACCTGGCAGCTGTCATCATCTCCAATTCCTCTTGGAGTCATCAGTGAAGGGCAGCCCCCTTCCTGTTCTCCCACAATGCTCCCAGTAATGCTCCTCTTCCTGTCCTCCTGTAGTGCTCCCCTTCCTGTCCTCCATCAATGCTCCCTGCAATGCTCCCTTTCCTGTCCTCTATCAATGCTCCCTGCAGTCCTCCCCTTCCTATCCTCCAGCACTGCTCCCTGCAGTGCTCCCCTTCCTGTCCTCAG